ACTTCAAGGATAGCCCTTGGGTCTGTACCTGTTCAGTAATGCCTAGCAAAATACTGGGCTTCTTTGATCAAACCATGTCTATGGGCTGGGCCAGAGTACCAAAAGCAGAGTGCCAGAACACAGGTGGCAAACAGACACGCAAGCCTGTGTCTATTACAAAGACATGCAAAATTACCTAGGTTTTATCCATCCTCTCACGCCCACCTTGAATCTCTGCAGGATTCTTCCCAAGTGTTCAGAATCTACAAAAGAATCAGCCAAGCAATGGAGATATGGGTTACAACAGGGTACAAAGTACTGTTTCCCATATGTTTCCACTAAGAGAAAGAAAGAGAGAGGGAACTTTCACTGCCATCTGACTTCTAACACAAGTCAGAACCCTCTCTGTGCCTCAAGAGAGACTTCACATCGGTCCAGTGCCATGCATTTTGCCTTGGGTCTCTGAACATTAGCCTGTCCTCTGTGCCTGGGGCTCTTAGGTTCTTAAGGACATTATAATGTAGACTCATCCACAGGCCCAGGTTCCCACAGGAAAGCACTTTTAAGTTCACCTTCTCTTCATACCCAGAGGTCAACAGCAGCTACCAGCAGAGGTTAGCAAGGCAAGAAACTCAAAGCTGTTTCCAGATTACCCACAGGGAATGTTATCAAGGTGATTCCATGTTCCCACTGTGCGAAGTCTGCGTGCTCAATTCAGGGGCCAAGTCATCAGTATTTCCACTCAGGGTCAATTTCCAATCTCCCAAATTACCTTAGGCATTTTAGGAATTAAATTATTTCCCTCCCATATCAGAATTTAGGAACTGGGGTACGAAGCACTATCAAATTATTAAACATGTAGATTGTTTCCACAGTTAATTTAAGTTAATTCTTGGTGTCTGCAGATAGATGCATTATCTTCCTTTGCTTAAAACCACTTCAGGAAGGCCACAAGATCATGGAAACATGAACTCATCTTTGGCCATAGCTTATTCACTTCTCTCCATGGAAATTAAAAGGCAAGGGAGAAAAAACAAGCTAATGGGTCTTTCATACCTGCAAGTGTTTGGTCAGGCTGCACCTACAGGCATTTATTACTAACCCATCAATAGTAGACCCCCAAAGGATTAAGAATTAGGGAGCAGAAATCTCCAACCATTACTGAAGAACTTATGAACTAACAAAACATTGAATGTGAATTTTTTTTACAGCACCTGGGCTTGAGGATGTTGTGGATAGAGATGCAGAGAATGGATCCTTTCTCCATCCATTCTCATTTTTCTTAAATCTGAACAAGATGAATGATTTCCTTGGCTGTAAACAGCAATTAAAGATAATATACCAAAATCAACTACAAAGGGAAAGAGCAGTTTTATTTCTGATCTGAATTAAAGACAAATGTAGCATGTGCTCAGCAAATGGCACAATGTGACATTCTGGAGGCAAGGATTGGGCATACAGCAGTGAAAGAAAAAGACAAAACTCCTGCCCTAGTGGGGCTTACACTCCAGTTCCTACGGATCTTTTTATCTTCTCAAGGTAGCCCACCTCCTTCCATTCTTACCAGGGCCTTCCCTCCAAGGTCCACTGCCAATGGTCTAAGTCACTCTGAAAATAGAAAAGATATTCCTGCTGAGAAGTCTCCCACCTCCACCCTTCCCTTCAAACCTTTTTAGGCTCCAAACCTGCAGATAGCAGCCCACCAGTGTCCCAGCACTGAGGCAAGGGAAAGGCCTATCCCAAAGAAGTGACTGGCAGGTCCTTTTTCCCACCTGAGATGGGGTAAGGAGAGGGTCTGCTCCTGCTGAGGATGGGGGAGAGGGAAGGGGCTGGGTAAAAAAGAGAAAAAAAACGGGCAGTGATGGGGGCAGTCTGCCTTCCTTGGAGGCAGCCAACAGTCCTTTGATCAAAGCCCCATCCCCAGGTTGCCTGCCCAGGAGATCCACAACCCCCTCCCTCTTCTCACCAGGCTGGAGAGATATGCACATTCTGGAGCTAGCAGGCTAAGGCAAAGAGTGCCACAGCCATTATGGTCCCAGCGGCTGGATGTTCACACCCCCTTGCCCTGCGAACTCCCTAGAGGCAGAAATGCACCTCCTGTACATTCAACCCAAGAAAAAACGAGTGCCAAAAAACTACATGTGCAAGAGCTGAGAGAAAATTTAGGTGTCCATTCGGATCAGCCTCTTTTTACAGGCAAAGAAGATCCAAACCGCAGCCCCTCACCTGGTCAGGTGTAAGTGGCAGCAGGGCCCAGTATGTTGCCCAATTTTCTTCTCTGCTCTCTGAACAATATTCCTATCAACAGTTCATTGGAACTTCCCAGACTACATGAGAACCGCCCCCTCCTCAGGCAGCTGGGCTGGGGAATCTCGGGAGGGAGGGGGAGGGGAGATAGGAGGATGCTGCAGAACCAGGGTGGAGGAAGCCATGGGGATCCCGGGAGGAGGACAGCCAGTTGAGGTGAGTGTTGCTGCAAATCTGGAGGTGTCTGGGCTGCATCAGGGTCACGGGTTCGGTAGTAGCTGTGTGACTTCAATCCTGTGGGACAGCACACCTGTGCGGTCTCTAAGATGGAACTGGGTGATGGCTGGGCACCTTGAAGCTGGAGTGTCTTAGTGGCCTCCCTTAGACTCTGCAGCCAAACTGGGCCCCCACCTCAACTCGCCTGGGCTTATCTCACTCAAAAAATAGGTCTTCTCCTCTTGCCCTCCCCACCTCCAGAGTTCAAACGAGGATGACATTCATTGTGCGTGTCTTTTATCACTAGCCAAATCGCTGCCCCTTTACCTGGCTGCTATCTTGCCCCAGCCCACTCCCCCACTCCAGGTCCAAGGGACTATAAACTCCTAGGGCTAGAGTAAGCAAATCCCCTAAAGGGAGGCTCATCTCTGGGAAAGAATCCATTCCCCACCCCACTCCCAACTCAAACACGCAATAAACGTCATTCTAATCTCCAAATCATCATTCTCCAAACACAAAAATAACAGAACCGCCGGTGGGTCTGTCATTTTGCCCGCCCCATTCTAAATGCCTTAAAAACTGCCTGAATAAAGATAAGACAGGATTGTGTACGTTTTCTACACAAATGGTGGAAAGTAATAAAATAAACATCAAAGGTGAGCTTCCACGTACTCGCAGCTCCGTCCTATTTCCAACAAAGGCAGGAAAAAGGAGGAAACCTCAACGTGGAAGGGCAGCGGGTTACAATTGCACCCTTCTGGGGCGGGGGGCTGTGGTCCATGGAGCCCCGTCCCTGGGGTATTGACACCGTGTAGGCCCAACCGTCCTGCGGCAGAGAAAGGTCCCCCCCTTTCCCGACGGTCCGAAACCACAGCAAAACCCCTCAAGGGGAAAAATTGGTTAGAAATGGTCATAAACACATCGTGCTCTCGGCCCCCGCCCCCTGGAACACACCCTCCCTTTCGTTCCTGTTGATAGTCGGAACCGGGAATAGCACGTCCCCCGCTTCGCCCGCGTCTGACGGATTCCGCAGGGTTACACACGCAGGCAGAGCCTGGCACCCTGAGCCACACACAGCCGCCCCAGGGAAAGAGGGCAACACTGCTGTTCTTACCCAAGAGCCACGAGCCAGGTAAAGGAAAACAAAAGAAAAGTGAAAGTCAGAGGCCATTTAAGAGAGCAAGAGTAAAGGTCATTAAAAAAAAAAATTCACAATTTCAAGTCCAGTATTGAAAAAGAAAGAAAGAGAGAACGAAAGAAAGAAAGAAGAAAGGAAGGGAGGGAGGGAGGGAGGGAGGGAAGTAGGGAGAAAGAAAAGAAAAAAGAAAAGTCCGCAAAAGGAAATCGTAGAAGTGCACAGCATATGGCTCCCATAGAAGATCCCTGCAAAGTGTCCTACGCGGTCACTGCTGTTCAGCACTTCGTCTGTAACGACAGGGGTTTGCTTTTGGGAAGAAGCACGGTTTTCACTACACCACGTGCAGTTTGGGAGAATTGCAGGCCTGAGCAAAGTCCCTGCTGCCTGGACTCAGCCCTTCCAGGTGTCCCCTAAGATAGCCCCCCCTCCACTGCCCAAATAGCCTCCTTGAGCTCCAAGACGCAGGGACCCTCCCAAGCGGTCGGGCGCTCACACCTGAGGGAGGAGCGGGCGGGCGGGCGGGCGGGGCCCGTACACAGGCACACTCACAGACACGCATACACCCCCAGTCGCGCGCGAGCTTCCCATTGGCAGGAGGCGGAGGGCGGGGCCGGGCCGACCCAAAACAAACAACCTGCGCAGTGACTTTGCGGCCGCGCTGCCGCATGGCCTCGGCCTGGTGTGCGCCCTCCGGGGAGCCTCGGCCACCTAGGCCACCTTGTTCCCCCACCCCTCGGCCGTCGGCGCCCAGGCCCCGCCCCCTCGGAGCCGCCGCAGGGTTATATTGGGCCGGGGCGAAGGTGGAAGGGAGACGGAACAGCGGCCGGCCAGCGTGGAGATGCAGCTTCGGAGACCCGGGGCGGAAAGGCGGCTACGGGCGCCACGGCCTCGGGGACTCGGCTCCGCGGGCGCTCAAGGCTGAAGGCTCCATACCCTCCCCCAAGGGTGGCACGAACACCGGCTGGCACCATCTTCGTGCCCCGAAGATTCCTGCCCGGGACGTGGGACCTCCAGTAAAGAACACCTCCTGGTCTCTTGAATGGATAGCAGATGCTCACGCTTCTTCCTCCAGCAAGAAGTCCCAGGCCCGGCACACTTGGGCATCAGAGGGTGGAACCGCACCCCTGTACGCATTCACCCCGAAGTCTCTCATCCTCGAACTGAAGACAGTACCCACCCAACTCCTCCCTCTCCGCCCCTCTTAGTTCACCCAATAAGCACAACTCCTCCAAAAAAAATTCCAGCGGAAGAAGACTCTTCAACGGAAAAGTGACTGTCTCTCGCAAGAGAAGGGAGAGCTGCCGGGAAAGAAAGGCGAGGACCCCAGGCCTCGAGATCTCCATTCCGGCCCCCAGCACCAGGTTCCCAAGGCCGCGCGAAGGAAAGGGTACGGCGCAGGGCAGGGACAGGGTACGCGGGCATGAAGTTGGAGGTGTTTGGCCCCCGCCCGGCCCACGGGGACAAGCCAGGTAGTGATCTGGAGGGTGCAGGCGGCAGCAACGCGCCATCTCCGCTGTCGGCAGCTGGCGACGACTCCTTGGGCTCGGACGGGGACTGTGCGGCCAACAGCCCCGCGGCGGGCGGCGGCGCCGGGGAGCTGGCGGGCGGTGGCGAGCGGAGCGCAGGCGGCGGGCCGGGCACGGAGGAGGAGGGCCCGGCGGCGGCGGCGGCGGCGGCGGGGCACGCGGAGGCCTGCACGGAGGGCCCCGGGGCGGGGAGCGCTGGGGGCGGCGAGGGCGCGCGCAGCAAGCCATACACTCGGCGGCCCAAGCCCCCGTATTCATACATCGCGCTCATCGCCATGGCTATCCGCGACTCAGCAGGCGGGCGCCTGACGCTGGCCGAGATCAACGAGTACCTCATGGGCAAGTTCCCCTTCTTTCGCGGCAGCTACACGGGCTGGCGCAACTCAGTGCGCCACAACCTCTCGCTCAACGACTGCTTCGTCAAGGTGCTGCGCGACCCCTCGCGGCCCTGGGGTAAGGACAACTACTGGATGCTCAATCCGAACAGCGAGTACACCTTCGCCGACGGGGTCTTCCGCCGCCGCCGCAAGCGCCTCAGCCACCGGGCAGCGGCCCCCGCACCAGGGCTTCCGCCCGAGGAGGCCGCGGCCCACCCCACCGCCGCGCCCCCGCCGCCGGCGCCCGCCACCCCGGCTTCTCCCCGCGCGCGCTCCCCCGCCCGCCAGGAGGGGCGCTCCAGCCCTGCGGGCAAGTTCTCCAGCTCCTTCGCCATAGACAGCATCCTCAGCAAACCCTTCCGCAGCCGCCGCGACGGGGAAGCGGCCCCCGGGGCGCGGCTGCCATGGGGAGCCTCGCCCTGTCCGCCGCTGCCCACATACCCCGCGCTACTCCCCGGCGCCTCCGGAGGGGCCCTGCTGCCGCTGTGCGCTTACGGTGCGACCGAGCCGGCGCTGCTGGGCGCGCGCGGAGCCGACGCGCAGCCCGCCGTGCAGCCCGCCGTGCCGCCCGCCGTGCCACCCGCAGCACCTCACCTCCTGCTCGCGCCCCTCTCCGCCTCGGCCCCAGCCAAGCCATTTCGAGGCCCGGCGGCAGGCGGCGGCTCGCACCTGTACTGCCCCCTGCGGCTGCCCGCGGCCCTGCAGGCGTCCTCGTCCTGTGGCCCCGGCCCGCACCTGCCTTACCCGGTGGAGACGCTCCTGGCCTGAGCAGCGCCGCGGAGCCAGGCAAGGGTGGGCGCCGTCGGGGAGGCAGGAAACGCAGGCCAGGGCTTTGCATTTTCTAGCCAGACAAAAAAAGACGTTAAAAAAAAAAAATCTCCATCAAACGTGCCTTAAAGCTAAAGCATTTTTGACGGAAGTGTTTTAATTTAATTCAGAATATTTTCGTTTTTCTTTTGTGACTTTACAGAAGACCAAACCAATTCTCTATAATTGCTTTAGGTTCTTGACCAAGCCTGTCCCTCCCTCACTTCACAAAGACTTTGCCTATCTTCTTACTCCCCCTTATTCCTATTTTTGTCGCACCCTCCATTGACTTGTCCCTTAAAAAAAAATCAGGGAAACATTCCATATGATAAATGATATGACTACTGTTCGGGGTTTAATGGCCCTCGCTCCATGTAAGTATGTGGCATTTACAGGCATGACTGAGTGTGAGAGAGGTGTCAGAGAATCTTCAGTCATTTCTCTGCTATTGACCAATGCTTCACTGTGCCAAAAGATAAAAAAAAAAAGTTGGGTTTTGTAATTAAATTATTTATATATTTTTGAGACCTGGGTTGAAAATGTTGCAGGCAACGGGCTACAGCTTTATTAGTGGTTCGGTGATCTCTAACTGTGGTCTCCTTGGGCCAAGCAATTTCTTTAAAGGAAAAGTTAGCATTATGTATGTGGGGTGCCAGGACCACTGCCACGTGAAAGCAAGCATGATTTTTATTTTTAATATTATTTTATTTGTGTCTGTACATATTCATGTATAAATTTTATGAAACCCAGGCATAGTGCTTATTTTTAATAAAATTCACAACTGACTTTAGCACTTTGTGGTGGTGGGTCAAAGATGGAGAGTTTTTTACATTTCCCCCACCCTGCCCCTGCCAAGAAAATGGGTTCTGGTTTGACTCTCAAAAAACTTCCTATGGGGGTCAAATAATTTCTTGAGTCACTCAATAAAGGTAGAGGCAGAGTGCAGGTTTCCTTACCTAACCAATCGCCCTACAAATCTCTAGGATGGGACTTCTGTCTATATGATTTCTTTAAACTTTGAACCAGTGACCTCTATGAGAACTCACACAAGAATTACCAGAACAAATGATAAGGTGTGTTCCCCTCTCCTACAAGAATCCTTTAGCGGACAAATTGAGCTATTAGCAAGCTTATAGTTGAGCAGACATTTCTAAGTAAATTGGTTCTGACCTGGAGCTCAAAAAGCTGGAAACAATCTTGGCCTAAGACTATCCTAATACACCGAAGATTTCTTCAGGGCAGTTTTAAAAGCAACTTGAAAGTCAGTGGTTTTTGTCAAAATGAAACGATCTACCTTTTTAGGAATGCAAAAGTTAATTTGTTGATGAACCAATCAGTAGTCTTTTTTCACTCTCTACTTCCATATGAGGATAGCATTTCTAGAGGTGGAGCTGCCAGGCCTATTTCTCTTGAGATCTGAAGAGAAAACACCACCTCAGATGGGCAAAGACAATTTCTCATGGTAAAAAGGGAAGGTTTTGATCAGAGGAAGTACCAGGAAACAGTGTGAACACCTGTTGTTCAGTAAATTCAAAGGCAGTGGGGCTCTAACAGTGTATGGATTGCAATATTCTAAAGACTGATGCAAAGAACAAATTCAGAATCTAGAAATGTAGGCCCCATTGTTGTTCCTGTAGTTCTTCCCTAGATCTCATCTAATTTAAGACAAGAGGATGATTTAGGGTTTACATAGTGTGAGGTGGGGAAAAGAAAGTGGAATTTGTTTCAGGATGTTTTGGGCAGAAATGGGGGGATAGCCATCTGCAAGTCTAGTAACAAGTCTTGACAGATTTTGGTTATATCTACTTAGTAGTCAATGAAGAGTGATAATAATAGGGTTGAATTATGACAAAAGGTAGACACGTGGAGATTTGCACCCACATGGACAATAATTAGACCAAAAAATAAAACTGAAATGGAATAGGGCAAAGGGTGAGGGCGACAAGTTCACTGAGTTGAAAATATCAGGACTCATATACTCAATCCTTTGCTTTTTCTCTTGAAAACACACTCTGACTAAACGCGAACAAGGAGTCAGACACTTGAGGTGCTTCTGAACTTCGGCAGACCATTTCTCTCCAACTGTGTGCCTTGCCTCCAGAGGCAAGGTGCTGCCTACTTTTAAATCAGTTTTGGAAAGCCACAATTTTCATTTCTACATTAATACATGAAGTCAGGTCTGCCAATGGAGATTTTAAATAGTTTATGTTAACAAAGACAGGGCAATGTAAAAGAGGCAAAGGGAAAGATGATTTAAAAAAAAATCACAGTTATTCTCCCCTCTCTTGAAAAAAATCCTTCCTTCCTAATGAACACTCCGGAGTCCCGCTGACGGGGTCCTCTCCCTGGCTTCTGGTGCCCTTCGCTGTGTCCCCAGGTACTGTAAGGTTTTCTAGAGAATGGTCAGAGGCCCCTGAACTTTGCGTCCCTTTCCGACCTTCCACGACCATCTCCAAGCTCCTACTCCCAAGACCGAGCCCCCCCCCCGGGGGGGGCAGGATGTGGAGGGATGGAGGGACCTGTGGCTCAGTCGCCGCACTCCCCAGCCTCTCCCTGCTGGGCCTGAGGAGGTCCCAAGGAAAGGGAACCGCACAAGCCCTAGTTTTCGAAATGAAAGTGGAAAGTTGCAAGGACGCTTTTAATTCAGGCGACACTCCAGCCTCACGGGAACCGCACCTCGCGGAGGAGACTCGGGCCCTCAGGACCAGGCTCGGTCGTGCTCCCAGGACCCCGGCCTGGGCTGCAGCCTCGGCGGTGTGACCCCGCCAAGACTGTCCCTTGTGGCAATGGCCCAGAAAACAGGATTCCACGGCGCCGCCAGAGGAACACTCCGGGCTCCGCGCGCGTCGGGTGGGCCTAGGGCTGCCTGTTCCTCCGCCTGCGCCAAGTCCACCTCCCTCCCACGGCCCGTCCTCCCCCCGGCTTGCCCCTTGCGGGCCGAGGGGCCCCCGGCCCACCTGTGCAAACACTCAGCCGCTAAGCGCACCGACCCTAGGGTGGGGGTGGGAGTCTGTTTGGTTTGGGAAACGCCCTTTGATACCTGTCAGACCTCCCCTGAGCTAGAGATGTGGGCGGAGGGCTCCATGGGTCAGTTTTCAAAGATCCCCTCTTCTGCGTTGGCACTTTGCAGTCTCTTTTCTCCACACCCCTTCACGGCTCAGAAGAACCCCTCTTTTCTCCTCACCCCTTCACGTCTCAGAACTACGTGGGCAAATGAGGGGAGAGAAGTGCACAACTGCAAAGCCCCGTCCAGCTGGGCCTCCTCTTGTCTGCCTTCCCCACAGCCAGTGAACAAGTCCGCCGCTTTGGGGAGCTGAAAAATTCTCTGCGAAGCGACACACAACATCCTGATAAATCTAAAATCAGCTTTCTACTATAGAAGATGATTCTCCTAAATACAGGAAGCAAGGGGCTGGGTGGTGCGGGGGCCGTGGTCGTGTGCCCAGAAGTCCACATTCCACCACCTCTTTGCCTGTAGTTCAGCCTCGGCAGTGAAAAACTTCAGCCATCCCTGGCGATGGCTTACTCCAAGCCTCTTAGCTTACGGATAAGCAGGCTAACTAAAGCTCCTTGTAGAACTGTAAGTCAGTTTCTTGATCCCATAGGAATTCTCAAAAAAAAGAAAGAAAAGAAAAGAAAATCAGAGAAAGTCTCACCCCCAGATGATGGACAGGGTCTCCTCTATGAGCACCCCCGGGTTGACCTTGCTGAGCTGGAAGCATCCTTAAGGAGAATTACCTATGCCCACTCCGGTTCCACTGTGGCACAATTTCACAAACTTGACGTTTATCTGTCCCAGGGAATGTTTGTTCACACACAAAATACTGAGTTAAATTATTTGACTCCCTTAGGTAGACCCCTAATTTTAGAGATGGGAAAATAGGCTGAGTAGCTTAAGCACTCCTTCTGGCAGACCCTGGTGGGAACCAAGATCCAGCTCCCAGTTCAGAATTCTTTCCACTGTAACACAATTATCTGGATAATTCAGACCAAAACATATTTTGGCCTGAGCTGAAATGAACTATTCAGATAATTGTCTCAAGCCACTTTTATTACAATGGTAGGCAGATTTCTCAAACTGGTAAGTAGTTTCTTTCATACCAAGAACCCACCACCACTACCATAATTGTCCTTTTCTGGAAGAAACCATGTCCGCTCCTCACCTGAGAGACTTGGATATGAAGTGTCTTAGACACTTTAGCTTTAATGTATAGATAGATTAGATAGATAGATGGCTACCACAATGGAATTTGGCAACTGCTTTTTCTCTCACTTCTGCAGAGTGCCAAGTGCTTACCCCTACTGAAGGTAGCAAGCTCAATTCTGTGCTGAGAAAGAAGGATCTCTAGAGGACGCAGTACCTGCTTTCTGGTGATGAGCACTAACAGATGGGCACTCCCTGATGCACACCTCTCCTACTTTTCCACACCAGGCTCAAAATAACAAAAATGGCCCCTTTCCCACATGAGAAAGAAACTAGAACTTCTTATAATCATTTGCCTTCCATTTTTAGTTTTAAAAAATGCCATCCCAATCTACCACATGACTGACAACTTTCCTAGATATTAAGAGACTTTGTTGGCATCAAACATACAAGGATATTGCTCCTCTGTTTTACTATTTTTTTTTTTAATTTTAGATCAGGATAAGCTGAGCTTTGCCTTGGTTCCAGAAATTAGACCCCGAAGAGTCCTTCAGTAAATATTGCCTGCTTTCAAACACCACAATATTTCTCTCTTAAGTAACAGACTTTATAGTTCTCTAATGAAACCATTAAACTTTTGTTATGTTTTAACAACATAATTTGTTAATTCTTAATGTTGTCAACAAATGGCCCTAATAAGTATCTTCTAAGAAGATCATGATCAAAAACATAAAAATATAACTCTCCCCAGATTCGAGGTCCTCTTTCAAATTGGCAAAGATTCCAATGTCATGAAATGCTGGTTGTTGTGCAATAG